GTAATAATTGTCCATCCACGTCATTGCACGTGGTCGTCAGGGGCGATTTTTCGCCTCCATTAAATTAATACAGGTTCCTTCCTCGGGGCGGGACCAACGAGACAATGGGCCAAGTTCGTCCATGAGTCAAGCAAGTAAGGGTGGGAATCGAAAAATAACGTTTTTGGCATTCATTACACTATTCAGCATGCACAGAGGACATCTGTTAGCCAAATTCAGTCATCTCCTCGTGAGATTGTCAAATGTAAGATTTCTACCCTTTGCAGCTTCCCAAGGGAAAAAAGAAATTCTGAGTGGTGCAACAGATTTCTGGATAATTTTGTTGGGAAAATTGCCAGGAGAACTAGATTGGTCATCCACAAGAAGTTTATAGAATGACTTGACAGAAAATGCACCATTTATGTTCTCTTTCCAGTAGAGACAATCTTCACTAAAATTAAGTTTAATGGTAGATAATAGCTGGAGAAGACTTTCATATCCCTGCACTTTCCAGTCCTGTAAATTTCTGGTTACCACCACATTCCAATAATTATCCTCATACACATCCCTAATGAGTGAATTTATGTCTTTGGCAATGACATAAATGAGAGGGAAACGTTTCTGGTAACATTCCTTACCAAACCATCTATCTTTCCAAAAGCGGATGTTGTTTCCTTTGCCCACTTTCCAATTAGAACTATCAAGTACAGATTCTGAACTGTGCATTATACTTTTCCACAAACTTTTCCCATATGCAGATTTGTCCAAGTCAGTAAGATCCAGTCGGTTATTACCAAGCCATTTACAGTCAACAACATCCTTTGAGAGTTTGTTATGTTCGCAGAGATACCTCCAGATCCATTTACCTTGAAGAGCTTTATTAAGAGTTATGACGGATCTCAGTCCCAATCCTCCAGCAGCAATCGGTTTCTTAATCTCGTTCCAATTAACCAAATGAAATTTACGACTATTATCATAATCACCCCAGAGAAAACGACATTGGAGAGGGTACTTTTGATAAGTGTTAGTCTCCCACCCTTACACAGATATTTACTTTTCTAACTAGCCAATCTATTTTGGAATAACTCAACAACAGGTTCCTAGCTTCTTGCATCTTTATGATTACTGCCCAAAGGGACTCCCAAATATTTAATTGGGAGTTGAGAGGATTTGCAGTCCCAGATAGCAGCAAAATTAGGAGAAGTGTCAACTAGTTTGTGACTCGAATTGTGCATACCCAAATCAATAAGCTCAGATTTATCAAGGTTTATCTTTAAACCCGATATTGCTTGAAAACATAATACGATGCACCTCAAATAAAGTAAGTTATCAATATCTGGTTTATAGAAGAAGAGAGTATCGTTAGCGAGAAAAAGATGCGTAATTTCTGTCTTTTTATCATGATTACCTATTGTGATGCCCTTGAACAATCCCAGATTACTTGGCTCGTCAATGAGCTTGTTGAGCGCTTCCAGTACCATAATAAATAGAAGCGGAGATCATGGATCAACTTGCTTTAAACCCCTGGTAGCCTTAAAGAATTTGGAAGGTCTACCATTTAATAAAACAACAAAAGTTGGTGAAGTGATACACATTTTTATCCAACTTCTCCATTTCTGTCCAAAGCCCAAGTTGTCAAGCATGTGGTCAATGAAATTCCAAGATACATGGTTAAAAGGCTTCTCCATATCCAGTTTATAAATCAGACCATTGCCTTTTTTCTTATAACATCATCAACAACTTCATTGGCAATAAGAATAACATCAGTGATTTGTCTGCCATGAACAAAAGCCTGTTTATTTTGACTGATAATCCAGTTAAGAACTTTGGAAAGTCTGTGAGC